TAACGATTTGAAAGGAGCGAGTGGTGGTACCCTTCGGGTGTCGGGCGCAACGGCGAACAACAAAAGTCGGGATTGCCACTGGCGAGGCTGAGTCCGCGTCCGCGCTAATCGCATGGATCGCGGGCGCCGCGCACCGCAAACAAAATATAAATCAATCAAGGAATAATGGTAGAAAAGGGCAGAATGAAGGAGGGCCGTTTGGCTCGATATTCCCAATTTTCCCAAATGGCAGCAAATGCCGCCGTCACCGTCGCCGCTACTACTACTACTACTACTACTGCTGCTGCTGCTGCTGCTGCTACTGCTGCTACTGCCCCCCCCCCAACCCAACCCCCATCGCCCTTACCGCCGCTGCCACCCAAACCACCGCCACCCCCTTTAGTAGTGAGCGCCCACTGCTCCCTGCCCTTATTTCTCAGTGGCCGGGCCCGCATATGTTGCGCTCCAGCCCGGCCCTTTCCTCTCTTCTTATTGTATAAATTGAGAAATTTTCACGGACGATATAGAGGGACGAAAGGTCTTGAACGCGAGGAAAGGGGATCGAGTATATTTCGCCCTGATCAAAGGAAAAATTGTTCTTACTTTAATTTGCGATCTGTTGCATTGATTCTCTCTCTCTCTCTCTCTCTCTCTCTCTATCTATCTATCTATCTATCTCTCTTTCTTTTATCATTTCATTTCGGACTTGTGAAAATTATCGAATGGATATTGATTTATGGATTTTATTTACACGAATTGCGGCGCTCAAGGTTAGGCACGGATCGTTAAAATTACTTGTGCGTTATATTTAAACTTTTTTTTTAACGAGTCAATGATATACCTCTGAAGAATATTTTCCAAACCACTTATTAATAATAAATATTGAAATCCTTTTTTTTATTTATTTTTAAATTACACGTAATTACGTCTCCACAATCGTACGTATCGTTATTATGACTTATTACAACGATATTTTTATCATATACTAAAAGTATTATAGCACTAAATATTACATTGGATCACCAAATACTAATCCAGAGGCTAATAGATCAATTGCTAAGAGCAGCAAAACAAATTCTTACTTTTATAAACAAAGTAATCTGTGTAATTGTGCGAGCAGCTAGGCATTGCCTTGTTATGAATTTCCGTGGGAGAGAGAGAGAGAGAGAGAGATAAAGTGGCACACGACTTTTCGACACTCGAACGCTAGGAAAAAACTTTCTAAACGAGATCCTCTGGACGTCTCTGTCAGTGTCAACTACAACAGTTTACATCCAGCCGAGTGCGTGTCTCCCTACTCAACCGAAAATTACCAAACGGAAGGAAAATAAGCATCTGTAAAAACGTAAACTCCGTCATGGCGTAAATCGTGTATATAACGGGCCATCACCTCCCCCCCCCCGCCGGCTGGCCCTGCCGCGGACCTCTGTGTGCTCGGCAGCCCAACAGACGAGGGAGTGAGTCGCCGTAAGAGGTAGCGTGCAAGTCCATAAGCGGAGAAAGTTTTACGGCGTATTGTAAGGGGCTTGCGTCTTGGTATCCGCCCGGGCGCTTCCGGCCCGGTACCTGGGGCCCGGTCGTGACAGGACGTAAGGACAACCGAGCCTTATGATTGTGTTTGGACACTCGACCGCTCCTCCGGTCCAGGTAACAGAAAAGTCGAGCTCGCGCCCCTGGCAACTGGGGCGCGTGGCGCGCGTGTCGCGCGCCGCTTTCCCAGGCGAGATCGTAAAATCAAAAGCGCCTACCGCCCGCTGAACGGCAAAAAAACCGAAAAGGCCGTCGGCCGTGGAAAGGAAAGATGCCGACGCGTCTGCGAAACGGTTAAGTCGTGCTCGTGTTTTTTGCACCCGAGTGTCGTAAAGGCCGGTTGGTTAGGAGGATGACGAGGAGGAGAGGGGGAGGCGTGTACAATTGTAGGAGACCTTGGCCTCCGTCGAGTCGAACTTTTGTCGAGGAGACGGGGTTGCGGGGCCCGCGAGTTGGATGGTAAGGTCGAATTGTCAATTAGATAAATGGATAAACTATTGTAAATACGCATGTATTTATATTTACCGATAGGAAAGACTTTGTTGTTATCCGTCACGGTGGCACTGTGTACTTAGAAATGATGCTCGACTTATTTATAAAATCCTCGAAACCGCAGCACATAAATCATCGACGCGAGCGAATTTTGCGTGAAATATCGAATGTATCAGTTATAGGGAGAAATCCGGGGAAATAGCCGAGGATAAAAAAGGACGACTAAAGGTGATCGTGAACAAACAAAGTGTACACGTCGAAGGGCCAAGGAATAGTCTTGTGTCGGTGACGTCTCTTTCTTTGAACAAACACGTCCCTATCGATGACGATTAATCAAGTCTGCAAAACCCTCTCTCTCTCTCTCTCTCTCTCTCTCTCTCGGTTTCTCTCATCGTCTAACATTATACGCGCGTGCATTTAGCGTGCAGCAAGCAGTTCCTTTTCAACCCATGTGAGCTTTGGCATTCCCAGCTTCTTTTGCCGTCTCGCACCCCCCCCCCCCCCCCCACCCCCCCCCCCCCCCCCAATCCCCCTCCCTCACCCCCCCGTCCGACAATCGTCACTCTGACCGGCTCTCGCCACTTCCGCGTGTATTTTCATTAATTCCACTTTTCGACGGCTCTCAGGCACGCTGAGATAACGATCTCCAAAAGGGACTCGATCATTTAACACTCATGATGAAATAATGAATAAAGACGATGTGAAAGTTGAAGGTGAGTGGCCATCCGGGCCAATGTCGATGCTTGCTACGTTAAAGTAGCTCCGAGTGCGATTGGCAATACTTCGGGGATAATCGTCGCGTAAGTCAGTGGTGAATGGAGGAAAATGATCGCGGGTCAACTCGCGAGGGAGTAATAATCGCTAGTGAATCAATAAGGAAGGCACGTCGTCGGTCCCGCTCGTTACGGCGCAAAGTGTAAATAGCCAGGCGCCCTCCTCGCATTGTCTATCCATAAAGGAAGAGAAATAACGCGAGGCAAAAGGAGTCGGTGATCGATGACTCGAGGTCGACGTGGCCAAAGACGGATATCGTCAGAGCTCCGAGAGTCGCGCGAGCATTTACACTCGAAGAAAAGATATATATATATATATATATAGTCCTCGCGGCTGCTCGCCGATATAATTAATAATAATCGCGCGACCGCTCCCGGGCAGGGTGAAGGGAAATATCGAGGGGTGTTGGAGCAGTGGATTTCGAAGGGCGGTAATATATATATATATATATATATATATATGTATGAGCGAGCCTGGCTACAAAAGACGCGTACATCATGGCCGCAGTCCGACTCCATTTCGTCGCTTAGATAATTATTGGGTTATGCACATTTAGCGGATAAGCGACCTCACCCCTCTAAGAGCTTTATTTATTGCCTTTCTCTGGCCGATTGAGCTGCAATGCTGTTCTGCGGTGCTTATATTTCGTTCGTACGAGATGAGATTTAAAATTACGAGCCTTTAAAATATAACTTAATTCCGATGATACGCTCAAGTGCTAATGAATGTGTTTGTGGCGAATCGGGGCCCGCTTCATAAAAAGACTGTAAAATGGTTTGGCTGGGAAGTTGGCAGGTCCCGAAGATTAATATCGCTTTAGATCTCATTAGGTGCGTTAAGTGGCGCCCCGTTATGATAGTAATTGTCGGCATAATCCATAAGATTGTTTTATTGTAATTGAGCGAAATTCTGAATTAGTTAAGGGATTTTTTCGAGCCCCGAGTACAGCAAAGTGCCGGCCAGCTGTGCAAATCATAAATATTTATTTTATGGTAAAATCTGGTGGTAAAATCCATGTGGATGGGTTGAGTGAAAACGGGAGGAGGATATTGTTAATAAAAATGCTGAGGAAAGGAAAGCGAGGGCAAACGTAATGAGGGATATAGGCGTCAACGGAATTGACGGGACTGCGCGAGATGAATGTCATTAGAAATGGATTTGTAAGAGCATCGGTTCTATTAGGAACCTCAATAACCTAATTATATTCAGTTGACGATTTACTGCTACGGTGCTCCCAACTAACGATCCATTGCTAAAAAGAGATCGGACGAGTCAGTGCGAAGAAAAAAAATTTCACACAATCGTCGAGCAAAAAATTAACGCCGAAGCTGCCCATTCTCTCCGACCCTCTTTATCAATCTATCTTTCTCCGAAGCCCTGCCCCTGCCACACTCGCGCGCACATACGAAATCTGGCTGCTGCTAGCGGTGGCACATGGACACATGGTCTTGCCCCCGTGCACTCATTGTACATGCGTGATGCGCGTCCATGTCGCCAAGCGTGAATTCAATATGGGTCCTGTGTCAATAGCTCACGTTGTGGGAGGGGTAGGTATCGCGTGCGTCGGGGGTGGCTAGCGGCGATCCCTGCAGCTGATACGGGAGTTTCGTGTCGGGTGCGATGGGGTGGGGTGGGGTGGGGTGGAGGGGCAGAGACTTGCGCGACCCTGCTGTCGGCATACAAAAAGGATCGTAAGAGAGGGAGAGAGAGAGAGAGAGAGAGAGAGAGAGAGAGAGACTGGAAAATACGAGGCGCACGCGTTTAGCTCGGTATCCTGGACTTAGCAGGAGGCGCTTGTTGGCAAAGGGAGTAAGAGAGAGAGAGAGAGAGAGAGCGAGGCGACTTGGTAGGGTACGAAATATTGTCGGCTTTTTCTGTGGGACCCCCTCGGTTCCCCCTCTCGCCATAAGCATGGACGCCTACTCCAACAGTGCAATAAACCGGTGAAAGTTTTCGGGGACCCATTGGCACGCGCGAACCCCTCGATACACGCTCTCTCTTCCTCGGGCTGCGTCTCTCAACTCCAGGGGCTCGAAATCGTCACGGGGACACAAATCATTTGGCATCATTGTGCCTAGCTGCGCGGGCCTCGAGCCTGCTCCTGGCTGTCGTTAGCGCGTGCCCGCCAGAACGTAGCCGACGTCCAAGTTGGTCATCACGCGAATCGTGGACTCGCAACTTTCTCGATAACCCATGCGCCGATCGAGTCTTCGCGTGGTGCGACGATGACGAGCTCGGCCTATTACGCGAACAACGAGATCGGCTACTGGCCTTATACCGACGTGTATCAGTCGACCGGCTACCAGGAGCATCCTTATCAGGAACTACGGCTACAACAGCATCAGCCTCAACAGCAGGAGCCGCAGCAGCCGCAACAGCAATCACAACAGCGATCACAGCAGAGGCAACAGCAACAGCAGCAGACGGTATCGAGGAATGGCGAATCCGGGAGCCCACCGTACGGGCTGAAGCCGAAGCAGGAGTCCTCGAGCCTACTGGAGACTCTCTTGAGACACGGGAAGGAGGCCGTGGCCGAGGGGTATAGCAATTGCGCGGCCACGACCTCCAAGCAGCCCCAGGAGCAAATAAGCTATGCTCAGTGTCAGACGCCGCCGTATACCCCGTCTTCATCATCCGACAGGACTTCCCCCGTGGCCGGTGTCATGCCCGGGGACTCGGGACCACGGGAACGTCTTTCCGAGGCCATCGGCTATGTCCAGTCCTATGCCGGTTACACGAGTGCGCAGGCGCAAAGCACGGGATACCTGGCCGTCCCCGCACCCACGGCCCCGGATGTGAAGTTCGAGGCCGTCGTTGCCGGTTACAATGCAGCCTACGCCGGCAATAACAACAACAACAATAGCCTCAAGAACGGAGTCGGCGAGTTCTCGGACGAGCAACAGCCCCAAAGGCAACTCGACTTTCCCTGGATGAAGTCCAATTACGCGGGCGGTAAGTATTTCATTTAGCTACGCGCGTGCCTTTTTTATGACTCACTCCGTATCTATCTTTACATACGCGTGCGTGTGTGTTTGAGCGTGCGCGCCTGTGTGTTTGCGTGTGCGTATGCGTGATTATGTGTGCGAGAATATTTAATAATACTATTGCATAATTCATGTAAACTTTGTGTGGCGCTGTCAAATCCAAGCATTCGATCGAAATTCCTGACTTTTGATTATATTTTTTAAATCTTACTTTAAGCTACACTTTCTAATAAATAGGTCTTTGAACATTACTCGTTCGAGTACTCGAGTGCTTGTTAAAATATTGTAGGCAAGCTATTTTCACATTAAGTTCATCAATATGAAAGTTTCTTTTTGTAACATTGTCACGAGAATTTTAACGTTTAAAGGTTTTTTATCTCCAACGTACTACGGCTACACGCAATTATTCGTTATTTTGTATTATTTTTAATATATAGATAATAGTAGATTTAACCTTCGTTTCAATAAGTATAATGGAATTAAAGTATTATATAATGACAGTACATGTCACACTGACAAAAAGTGTACAAACTGCTAGTTCATTCCGATTCATTCCGTTTACTATATATATATATATATATATATATATATATATATATATATATATATATATATATATATATATATATATATATATATATATATATATATATATATATATATATATATATATATATATATATATATATATATATATATATATATATTAATTATGAAATAATCATTATAGTTATGCATCCGTTAATATCGCAGTTTTACGTAATGAAGCATCTGTCGTAAACATAAGGTAAATGAGCTTAGAAGACAATGACCTTAGCGATATGTTTTAATAATCCACTTGACGCATCGTACGGTACACGAGCTTCGAGCAGCGGCAAAATTTACGTTCACAGAGTGAAAAAATATTGGGCAAATCCGTTTTTAAACATCAACTTATAAATGAAATTGAAATAGAGCTATAGAGGAGGAGGTAGAGATCGAGTCCCGACGGATTAACGCGAAATCGGCTTAAAATAATCTAGAAAGCATCGTGTACTGGAATATAAACAGAACAACGGCTCGCGCATCAAATCGGCATGTTGAGGCGCTCAACATGTCCGTATCGGGGGGGGGAGGGGAAGAGATAGTCGCTTCATACCCCGGAGCAAGAAAGGGCCTTTAATTCTTTTGTATGTTACATTAGCGTCGGAGGCAAATGGCACGGGGCAAAAGCGCACGCGGCAGACGTACACGCGCTTCCAGACCCTGGAGCTCGAGAAGGAGTTCCACTACCATCGCTACCTCACCCGCAAGCGCCGGATCGAGATCGCGCACGCGCTCTGCCTCACCGAGCGCCAAATCAAGATCTGGTTCCAGAACCGGCGCATGAAGGCGAAGAAGGACGGCAAGATCGGATACAGTTCGCCGGAATCCCTCGAGGAGCCGACGAGCGTCTGCCCTGAGGTTCCGCTCCTGACGAGCCGCACGACCATCACCACGAGCACGACGATGATGCTACCCGCTGGCGGCCAGGGCTCCCTACCCGATCACCAGCATTGCCAGCTCCAGCAGCAGATGCACGAAGCGTACACGAGCTACCAACAGCATCACCACCACCACCACCATCATCATCATCCCCCCCACCATCAGCATTCCCAGATACAGCAACAGGGCTATCCGAGCGCGGTCGATTACTGGCCAGAGGGCCGAGTGGGGCCCGAGCGTAGCGGCTCGTGAAACGAAAATTCCGAGCAGCTGAGGCCCGATGGAAGAGCGAACGTAGCTGCTGCCGCCGCCGTCGTCGCTGCCGCCACCACCACCGCCGCTGCCTCCGCCGCGGCCATTCGTGATTTATGGCCGGGGCCCGAGCGGCCGAACGTGTACAGGTATATGGGCCCGAAAACGCATCGCCTTCCCTTCACGCCGAATTTCGCCGGACGCGACAATATCCCCACCTCAGTGGCTCGCTCATCTCTTGGCTTCTCTCTCTCTCTCTCTCACTCTCTCTCTCTTTCATTGCGCACTCATTGGGCTAATTTGGCTTTCGTAAGCTTCATCAGCTTCGTAATTTGGAAACTGCGATTTTTGCGCACATCATTGCCGATAAAATGTTTTTTAAGCGAATCTGCTGAAAAGCCGTTAACGAGACAAATAGGAGCGCTGACGCTGATTTTTCCTTTGAAAATTGACACTTTAACCACGGCTAATAGTTGGTCCTTGAAGAATTGGAGGTCTCGTGTTTTTTCCATTTTTTTTTCTGTTTTTTTTTTTGTTTTTTGTTTTTTTTTTCAAAAATCTTTCGACCTTCCATGAAGTACGACTACCGAAATTCTTACCGCTGCGATTGGGCAAATAACTTGCACAATGAGCTGTTCACATTCATTCAGATATTTATCCTATTGACATTTTCAAACTACGAATATTTGTTGATCTTCGAGGCACACAATTTACTCGCTAGATAATTCAATGATACGCGCTTGAAATCGGATAGATATTCTAATCGGATCGATTTAAACATCAACTTTTACATTAAAAAACATTCGTATGTCTCAGGGACGGGGGAGGACGACAAGGCGAACGATTTAACTTACGTATACGCATTTAGTGAAAAGCTACGCACTAAATGTTAATTAACGTTTCAGTCAAATATTTAAAGCATCTATTATCCAATATTACTTTCTTAATGATTAGCTCAGTATTTGACAAACTTTCATAAGACTCAGTATAATATTCACATCGATAGATATGAAATAGAATAGAGTCCATTCGTTAATCCATATCGGAAAATCTCCCGCGAATCCCGGTAAAAGTAGCCTCTCGTCCCACAAGAAGAAGGGAAACACCATTCGAGACGGTTAGAAATTTCAGGGGTTGTGTCGGTGGGGCGGCGCGGGGTGGGGGGTCACCGACTGGCGCGCAGCTGCACACTTTCTAACGTCGAAAAGAAGATGGCCGTGAACGGTATGCGCGCCTAGCGTGGCCATCTCATTTTTCACTACGTTTTCATAATACAAATCATTTGTTTTTGCCTTTGATTATTTAGCGAAACGGTCGGATGAAACGTTCGTCGAGTCGGTGGTGCGCGTCTAAATATCGCGAGTGACTAATTCCGATAGGCGAAGGAACAGGAACGTAGAGGGATAGAGATAGAGAGAGAGATAGAGAGAGAGAGAGAGAGAGAGAGAGAGAGAGAACGAGGGAGAAAAAAAAAGAATGGACTGGAAAAGAAGGACGTAGGCAAGGATGCGCGAATAGAAGTATCACAATGAGAGACTTTCGAGAAAAATTTGTTAAGGAATAAAAACTTTATGTGAGTGGCTATGAAATTATGGATAAGAATTTCGAAACCAGAGGATATTAGAGGTTATCTTTCAATACGAATATTCACATCTCAACAACGTCGCGCCTGTCAAATCGCGAGACATTTATGTATTATTTTGAGATTTATTTCTCTTCGTATCCTTCTTAATCTTCTTGATGCAATTCTCCGGCAATTATTGATAGCGTTGTAGCGACTGAGGAGGTAAACAGTCGATCCTAAAATAATTGCACAGGTAATGCTGAAAAACAGGATAAAAAGTAAAAGTCAGCTGCGGGGATAATCTACAGGGATAATTGTTTCTATGCTCGATTACATTGAAATCTGCCAATGCAGCGTGCAAGATATTTGCCAAGAGGAAGATGCTAATTTTTATAAAATTAAAATGAAATTAAAAAATTAACCGAAAAGTGATGTTATTTATAATTATAACGAATACATGTTCCTATTAGACGATTGTTATTGTAAATAGATTATATCGTAATTCCTAGGTAAGGCAAATAATTTGTATGAATAGTGAAGTTAAACTTTATACGATCTCGATACTGCAATAAAATAAGTATTTTATTTTTTATACTTTGTTTATTCATCGTTAAAGTTGTTTGCTTCTTTCTTCATAGAATTGCAATAGAATCAACGCTTAATTTAACAATCCCAAAATGACGACGAGCACGTGTAAAATTATTTCTTATTATTCGTGCCTTATCATTTGCGTTAAAAAAAAAAATTAATATATTTTGATATGTCCAAAAGTAAAAAAAAAAATCAGTATAAAGTAATTTAATGAATACACCATGTGAATATTTATAATCATATTATTTATGCGAAATGAAAATCTACTCTACCTTTAAGTATTAAACATTATATGATATTGTAATTATTTTTCTACCATCATTGTATTGAATTTACTAGTCTATTAGTTCTTAAAAATGTTGTAAATTGTCATAAACAAAAATATATTTTATACTACAAATAAATTATTCAAATATAAAATGACTCGTTCACTTACTGTATAACTGCATATTATTAATATTATTTTGTTTTTAATTTTTTCATTAGGCCCAACATGAGGCAAAATGAAAATGTATACTTAAAATAAATTGTGAAAGAACAATGTACATACGAATTTATCACATGAGTTTATTAAATTAAATAATTATGTCTATAATATATTAAGTTGATTCTTAAGATTGAAACTTAAATTAGAAATATCAATTCTTATTTATGTCAGGGACTATGTTAATATATGAATAAATATTTTTCTATTTTTAAATTAACATAGATATTTGTAATTTTTTTAATAAAAATTTCATTCCACTCATTATATTTTTATTTTACTCTTTTACCGTAATAGCTTACGCGTGTCGGTAAAAAAAATGCAAGATGTGGTTATTTTTTTAAATGAAAAGTAAGCCGACGTTATACGAGTTTTATATTTAATAATTTTTTAGAATTGAAAAAATTTATATCGAAATTTCAGCGCTATGTTAATAACAATATACTTCAGGTGCTAATAACGTGTATATAAAAATATTATTGAAAATTAATACTCATCCATGAATTAAAAAATTTATCTTAATTTTTTTGTTTTCACAAAATCTGTATAAATGACGAACAATAATGGACTCGTATTATTTAAGATAAAAAAAAAATAAAAAAAAAAACAAAACAAAACAAACCATTGTTAACGGCCCGAGAAAATTTACTTATTTTCCTCGTTGTTAGTAAAATTTTTAACCAAATATGTGAAGCACGTTTAGAAAATTTTTGTTTTTTTACATTCTTCAAGAAAATACTTCGCTATTTAATATTTTACAGTTTCCTATCAATTAAGAAAATCAATAATTTTTCGAATATTGTAGTCGAATTAATTTTTAATGATAATATACAGGAAAAATGCTCAACTGTATTAATTTAAAATCATAATACCTTTTTTATGAAATATTTTAAAACAATAATTTTCCAGATTTAACGAACAACTTGTTTAGGTTATCACTACTACTTTTCATAATGCATGTTTTTGTTTAAAACAGATAAAACAATCTAAAAGAAAGTAAAATTGTCATGCTTGACAGACGAATAATTACTTACAGATCGCTGATTGAATCCAAATTTATCTGAACAATAATTTAAATTGTAAAACTATTCCCTAGGAAGTGGCAGCAAGGGCAATGAAAGCAGACTTACGATTTGCAAGGGCCGTAGGAAGAGAAAGAGGATCGATATTCTGCTTGACAGATAGTTTCCCATAGCCTTGGTAATTCATCATGACCAGTACGCGAATACGTATTGGTTTACTTGAGTCTTGCAATTTAATTCAATTTACGTCTGTCTCTTTGCTGTAGATTTTCAACGTTCTATTTTATATAAAAGCGCTTATTCTCTATTCTTTACGAATTATTCAGATTTAAATTAATTAAAACGTTAATGATTATTCAGGTTTAAACATTTTCATTATCTAATGAAAAATTTATAATAAAATAATTACAATTTATCTTTATAGTATTTTTAAGATATATGAAATATAAATTTTTTTAAATATAATTAGCAGGACATTTAATTTTCGTAAGAAGCAAGTGTCAATGCAAGAAGAAGTTTAATAATTTGTTTAAACTACATGAAATACTAATTCACATTTAGAGTGGAAATATTTGCAACTATTAGTATGTCAGGTACAATTTAAATAAAGTAAAAACACTTTTTACTTGCAAATAAAAACTTTCATAGAAATTGGTACTTTTATAAATATTATTTTTTAATTTTTTTAAACATCCTTAATTGATACGCAAGTTGATAAATGATACGATACAATTTTATAATATCCTTATCCTTACCGATAATATTTTATGATAAATTATCAGATATCTAGATGAAAAAGATTTTGGCAAACCAAGCATACTAAAACATTATCTTTGTAAATTGAAATTTACATGTTTTCATCAATCACGACAAATACACTAAGTTATATTTAAGTTTTAAGAAGATGAAAAAAGAATAAAGAAAAGAATAATCTAGATTGGCAACGAATTTAAAGAACTCAAGTGAATTATAATAGCAACGATGCGGTTGAATAATATGTGAAATCACAGAAGAATCGGTTCATTGTGCAATAATTACGTCATCTTGGAAGGCGGAAAGTCAAAAAGGGACATCGGCAGAAGGAAAAAACGCATAATGCACTATAGCAGTGCTACGCACACGTACGCATGCACACACGTGAAGTTGTTGACACGTGTATGTTGGCGGCCCGTTTTATTCCAAGCTATCCCGATACGCTTTTTTTTTTACACTTACGACGGCTTTATTAGAAATTCCGATGGGAAAGGCGCTGCAAATACTGACACATACTTGAGACGCACGGAATGGACGGGGAAGTCAGTACTCGCAACAGTCAAAATGGTCTAATCGTGCGACTTCT